CTAATCCTGTGAGGGGCGACGTGAGGGTGGGGGCAGCTCAGGGGGGGAAACATCGACCTGGAATCGGCGTCACATAGCCGATATCGGCGATAGGCACCGATAGCGAATTTGCACTGTCCTTGGCGGGGGTGGGCTTTTGGGCCCTTAGATGAATGAATGGGCGAGGGGGACTCGATGCATCACCCCTGAGCCTATCGCCCCCAACGTTGCCCCTGGGAGTGAGGCCGTTCAACCTCGAACACCCTCCGCTGGCGGATACCCTCAAAGACTATCGAACCAGTCCTTTGCACGGCGCCCTGAGCTGCTTTCTGCTGGCCGGGGGGCGCAGAATCGATCAGCATCCAATCGGAACAACGGGTCCGACGGCAACGTGCGTCGGATTGGGCCGCATCCAGCACGGAGCCGAAACTGGATCGCACTGGCCGCGCCACGGCGCACAAGAATCGTGCAAGCATCGTGTCGAATGGATATCGAATCGGATCGAACGGATGGACGTGGACCCTGCACTGGCAGCCAGACAGCCCTGCTCCAGACGGGCAGGAGCTGTTGTCGGCCTGCGCCCCCCGCCCTCTCTCCGTATACCCGCCTCGACGGCACCGGCCCGGGAGATCCCGACCCTCGACCACCGACTCCTCTCTCCCCCGCCCGCTCCCAGCTGGGCATGAGGGGAACCGTTGGTGGGTCCAGCTCTGGGGGGGGGGGAACATCGACCTGGAATTGGCAACGCAGCGCCGATGGATCGGCGAGATGGGCCCCCGACAGCGACCCTGCACGGTCCCGGGCCGGGTGTGGGCTATCGGGCCCCCCTCGGCGATGAATGGGCGATGGCCGGCCGACGCATCCCCGCTGGGCCCTATAGTGGGCCCTGGAAACGACAGGGCAGTTTTTGTTACCGGTTCCGTTTTGCCTTTTTGTTGCCAGTTCCGACGCCGTTCTTTTACGGGTTCCCGCTCCGGTTCCACTCCTGGAGCCGTTTTTGTTGCTGTTTCCGGTCGCTTTTTGTTTGCCGTTTCCATTTTCAAAGGACGCTTTTTCGAAACGGTGAAAAAAACGGCCCTGCCGTTTCCAGGGCCCTTTAAGTTATCGGGCCCCCCTCGGCGATGAATAGGCGATGGCCGGCCGGCGCATCCCCGCTGGGCCCATCCTTAGTGGGCCCTGGAAACGACAGGGCCGTTGCCATTTTCAAGGGACACTCTTTCGGAAACGGTGAAAAAAACGGCCCTGCCGTTTCCGGGGCCCACCAAGGGCCCATCCTCGCACTGATCCTCACCGCCACGTCTTCGGGTCCTGGCTCGGATCTCCAGCGGCGGCTCGGAAAGCTCTGGGCGGCCCCCCTCGGGCCGGGGGTGGGCTATCGGGCCCCCCTCGGCGATGACTTGGCGATGGCGGGCCGGCGCATCCCCGCTGGGCCCATCCCCGCACTGATCCGCACCGTCACGTGTTCTCGGGTCCTGCCTCGGGTCTCCAGCGGGGGTTCGGAAAAAGATCTGGCCCGCCCCAGCGAGGAGGGCGGGCGGGTGCATCCCCCCCCTGGGCTTGTGGATGCCACGGCAACGGACACCCTAACAATCCGATCATTGAAGTAAAATTGTGTATACAATGTTTGAAACATGTTATGCATAAATGTTTGAAACATGACATGCTTGAGACATGCCTTTAAAACACGTTTAAACAGCTGAACAGTTGTTCGGCAACATGCCTCCTCTCCATTATGTTACGTTTCTGCTTGCAAAGCTGAGGGCCCCTCCGGGGCCAGCTGTCTATCTCTATTCGCTCGTTGCACAGAGGCGGGCGGCGCTGGTACCGCTTGCGCCACCGCGTGAGCACGTCAGAAGCTTCAGCAAGAAAAGCGTGCACTCCTCCCACTGATACTCACCGCCCCGCTTCCGGGTCCGGGCACCAGGAGGCTGGAAAGCCGCCGGAAGCCGACAGAAGCGCACGAACACCTCAAAGCTCGAGCCTCGAGGAATTGGCGATTGGGGGTCATTGCACCGCGGGCTGAGCCTCAGATACTCATTCTGGGGACCTTACTGGAGCCACTCGCTCCACTCCTGCGTCGGAGCTGCGCCGAATGTCCGCCGACCCAAGTCGAACCTGAGTAGAACCTGAGCCGAACCTGAGTCAAGTTTGAGCCACACAAGAATCCGCCGACCCCTTGGGGTCACGGCGTGTGAGATGCTTCCCCCTCCCCGAACCCCTCCCCCAGGGGCCTGGTCCGGCCGGCTTGGAGGGGGGGGGGGGATTCCGTCTTCCGCACACTTGGAGCCTCAGGAGGACGCCCCAAAACGCCCAAAACGGGCCAAAAAGGTTCCTAAGGTTCCCGGAACGGTCCAAGAGAGCTACGAATCGACGAAAGATCGCCCCACAAGGCCGAAGATTGCCTCCAGACGGCTCCACAAGTCCCCAAGACGTTTGAAACAATCTTGCGAGGCGCCCCCAAGAGGCCCTCCAGAGGCAGAAATCGTCACATGTCCTAGGGAAAACGTGCGTCTTCACCACCTTCGCCAATTGGGCTTCCACGCGGCGCAAAACGACCCCAGCAGCCTCCAAGATCGACCCTCGCCAGCCCAAAAGAGGCTCCCAACAAGGCTCCAAGACGGCGCCCGAGCGATCCACGAGGGCCCCAGAAACCCTAGCAACGGCTCAGGAAAGCCGCAGGACGGTCCCAAGAGGGCTCCAATAACGGGGCAGGAGGGGGCCCCCAAAGGCTATCCATTAGGTCCAAACCGCCCAAGATCGCCGCCAAACGGCCCCATGGGTGTCCAAGACGCTTGAAAACGCGACCACGAGGCGCTCCAAGAAGGCCTTCAAATGCAAGAACCGTCCCATTCCCTAGGTAAAACGTACATTTTCAGCAAATTCGCTTCTTGGGCTTTGACGAGGCCTACAACGGCCCAATAAACCTCCAAGATCGACCCCTGTCACCCGAAGAGGCTCCCAAAAACGCTCCAAGACGGCGTCCGGGCGATCCACGAAGGCTCCAGAAACCATAGGAACGGCTTAGGAAAGCCGCAGGACGGCCCCAAGAGGGCTCCAAGACGGGCCAAGAGGGCTCCCAAAGGCTGTCCAGACGGCCCACGCGGGGGACGATTCGGTCCAGACCGCCCAAGATTGCCTCCAGACAGCCACATAGGAGTCCAAAACGTTTGCATACGCGACCACGAGGCGCTCCAAGCAGGCCTCCAGCAGCAAAAACCAGATCTTTCCCTTGGGAAAACGTACATTTTCACCACATTCGCTTCTTAGGCTTCCACGAAGCCCACAACGGCCCAGCAACTCCAAGATCGACCTCTGGCACCCCACGAGACTCTCCAAAAGGCTCCACGACGACCTCCGGGCGCCCCACGAAGGCCCCAGAAACCATAGCAACGGCCCGGGGGAACGGCAGAACGGCTCCAAGAGGGCTCCAAAACGTGTCTACAGCGGCCTCACAGGCTGTCCAGACAGGCCACGCGGGGGACGATTGCTGCCGCCCCAAGGGGTCGGCGGTGTGGCGTAAGCCAATGAATCTAACTAGAGTCGAACTTGGGTCGCACAGACCCGATGGGTGGGCCCCAGGAAGGTCCCCAAAGCGAACGCCCGATGAACTCATCCCCTACCTATTCGGGGATAACATGCAACCAAACCCATATCGAGGACACGCCCTGGGGAATGTCTCTTGCGCTCGCCAACAACCGCCAGAAAACCGAAACCAGCTCAGTCCATGTAGTGTGACGTCCCAGGACTGCCAAATCGACCACAACCACAACCAACGTGCACGTGTCGAGATCCGTGGGCTCTCCCCCGAGGGGCACTTCCGAAAAATCCACTCAGCTGTGGTTGTGGTTGTGCCCAGAGCCTGGCGTGGCTCCCCACCCGATCTGAACAACCGTCGGCGGCGAGCCCAGGGGGAAGTGAGAAGGGGCGGGCCCTCTCAAAAGGCTCGAAGTCCCCCAGCCTCCCGAGAAGCTTTCTAAACTCGAAGCCCGCCGCCTTCTGAGAGTGAAGGGGCCCTGGGACACACAAATTCGCCGGCCCAACGGGCCAGAGGCGTGCTAAGATCTCCGGTAACTTGTTAACAATATTTCTAGTTCGCGCGCGCGGAGCGGCCCCTGGGGGCCCCCGGACGAAAAGTACCCCGGCAAGGTCCCGAGAGAAGCCCGGGAGAAGCCACCAGACCACTCCAGGGGAGGGTATTTTTCGACACCCCTCACGAGGATCGTGGCCTCCGAGGGGGGAGCCGCAATCGACTACCCCCAAGAGCCCCCCAAGAGGCCCTGGGGGCCTCCAAAACGCCGCCAAGGAGCCCCAAGAGACTCCCAAGAGGTCCCCAAGAGGCCCCCAAGAGGCCCTAAAGAGGTCTCCTTCTCGCTTCCTGCCCTCGCTTGCTGGCGAATTTGACTCTTGGCTCATAGTTCGGGCCTCCAGCGGCGGGAGTTCGCGCCGAGGCGGGCACCCCCCGCACGCCCCTCGGCGAGGCGCAGCTGCTGGCAAGCATCCCGAGGCTGGAAGCCCGCCGAGAGCCGACGAGAACGTGCGAGAACCTCGCACCTCGAGCCCGAAAGCGTCCGAAGTTGATGATGCTATAACGTGCTTTAGCCTGGACCGCTGGAAAGAATCTCGAGCACCAGGAAGATACCGAAACTGGAGGGTCTTCCCCTGTCGGGGGCCCTGGGAGGCGACACTCTTTCGACGCTGCTTCGACGCTCTCCTGGGCGCTCGAGATTGCTTCTGGGACGTGGCCCTCAAGCACGATGGGAGCCACATGATTCGAATCGAGGAGGCCTCCTCCTCCTCTGACTACCTACCAGACCACCCCAACCCAACCCGAAGACCCGAATTTGACCCGAATTGCGGGTTGGGGGGGGTACGGGTTCCAGGTGTTTTTCCAACGTTCCCCGACCCCCCCCCCACTGGAAATCGAGGATACATTTGGACCTTCGGGTTGGGTTGGGTTTGGTGGGTGGTGATCCTCGCCCCCCCCCCGCTCGCTGCAGAGCCCGCCCCCCCCCCGGGCGCGCCGTCTGCCCTCCGGCGCAGCCGCCGGCTCGCCCGCCCGCGCCGCCGCCGGCCTCGGCGCGGCGGCCCCCGCTTCCGACGAGCGCGCGCCGGGAGGCCCGGAGGTGGGCACACCAGCACCCAGCACGGGGGGGGGGCCTCCGCAGGGGGAAGGTTTGAGCAGGGACCGACCGTCCCGGCCCTTCTGTAGTCTGATCACGGCATGTTCTTAGAACCCAACATGTTCTAATAACAAAAACAGTATTCTTAGAACATAAACCCGATGTCTTAAAACAAGACAGTCCCAGCCAGAAATGTTCTAAGAACAGTTCGTGGGAACCACAAAAGGTTCTTAGAACATTGTTTGGTAGGACTATAGGCGAGCCAGGACGCTTCGCCACTGCTTGAAAGATGATCCTCGATGTCGGTGTTGGTGGCAATATTTCGGCCACCTCGGAAGCCAGAATATTACCACCATCACCGAGATCGGGATCCTCTTCCCTCGGTGGAGGCACACCGCCGAAATCGGTGTTGGTGTCAATTGCTAGGCCTGCGACGCTCCACTACTCGCAAAGTGGCTACTCGCAGATGGCCTGGATCCGCCGCGGGGCATCTGCGACACATTACATGGAAGCAGACACGTGTCTTCCAGAAGCAGACGTGGAAGCAGACATGGAAGCAGACATGGAAGCAGATATTGATCTGCGATCAATTACAGTTGGGCACCCTGCGAGTTGGGCACCCTTCGAGCAGCGGAACGCGCCCAGGGACCCCTGCGAGGCCGGAGCTCGTCTGCGGCCGGCCCGTGCCGTACCGCCACTTGGGCGTCGGCTGCCGCCGCCATGGGGATCCTGCAGCCTGGAGCGATCGGCCGCGCGAGCGTCGTCAGCGCGCTCGGCGTTCGATCGATGGTCTGGGCCGCCGCCGGCGGTCAACGCGGGACGCCGGCAGGCTCGCGTCGTGCCGACCTGGGCGCTGGTTCCTGCCGCCGTGGGGATCCTGCAACCTGGAACGGTCGGCCGTTCGGAGTGGTCGCAAGCGGTCGGCGCGGCGGCCCTCTTGCGAGGCCGGAGCTCATCTGCGGCAGGTCCGTGTCATGCCGACTTGGGCATTGGCTCCTGAGGCCGCGGAGATCGTTCAACCTTGAGCAATCTGCCGTTTCCGAAGCGTCAGACCTTCAACATCGATCGATCCTGGGTCGCCGGCGGCGTTCAACGTGGAACGCCAGCGGCGGGGTCGCCGCTGGTCGACACGACGCGAGCCTGTCGTACAGACGTTCTGAGGCAACCTTTGGGAGATTGTCGTCAGAACAACTACGGACTTCGGCTACACGCAAGAGTGACCCTGGGCAAGAGAGACCTTCGGTGCGCGGTCTAAGGGGGCGCAGGGTGAACAAATCCAAGCGCGCAAGCAGCCGCTATCGCATCGCGCTCAAAAATCAGATCGGGGAACCCGGATGAGCCCGCACCTAAGGTCACTGCGGCGAAGGGTCACTCAACGTGTAGTCAAGGACTGATAAACCCGATCACAGGGCAAGTGAGCCGGGTCAGGCCGGATCAAGCCCAGGACTGAGCCGGAGCCGGATCAGGCGGGGCTGAGCCGCACTGGGCGGGTCGAAGCATGCTGAGGCAAGACTGAGCCCAGACTCGCCCAGATGAGACTGGTTTTCGACATTGGATACACCAGCGCCGATCCTAAACTTAACCTCCCAAGAATTCTGACTGGCCCTCTTGGCGTAGGTGGTTTAACGACTTGTGCCTTCTCTCTGCGAATATCCCTCCTTCCCCTGCTCGGAGGGGTTATCATTGCTCCTGACTCTCTTGCACAGGATGCCTGGAGCTCCGACCACTTGATTTCTCGCGCCGCAGGCCTCCCCGACCCCCCTCCCAACTGCAGGCTCACGCTCCTTTCTCTGGTCTTGACTGCCCCCGCTGTCCACCAGCAGACCAGTGCCCCTTCCGCCCCGACCACTTCATTTTTGGCGTCGCACCCCACCCACCCGCCCCGGACGCCACACACACACACACACACACACACACACACGCGCACACACACACACACACACACACGCGCACACACACACACAAAGGCCCCTCCGCCACCGCCCGCTGCCCTCCCGCAGCCCAAGCCCCCTCAGCCCCGACCGCTGTATCTTTCCGCGTCACAGACCACCAACCTCCCCCGCAGGCCCCCCGCCAACGCCCGCTGTCCCCGCTGTCCTCCAGAAGCGCTGTGGACCATCTCATTTTTCGCGTCGCAGTCCCCCCCCTCCGCGCGGACCACCGGCACAGGACCGCCCCCGAGCCCCCGTCCCCACACCCCCCTCCCCTCGGCATGCCGCCGCCCCTACACTCTGTTCACACTTAAGGCCCACGCCCACGCCCCCCGTCCCCACGCCCCTTCCGCCCCGACCTCTGTATTTTTCCCGTCGCAGCCCCCCACCTTCCCTCCTTCCCCCGCCGCCCCGCCCCCTCCCCCGGCAGGCCACCGCCCCCGCCACCCTCTCCCCATGACCCTCTTGCAGCCCAATGCCTCTCAACCCCGACCGCTTTCTATTTCGCGTCGCAACCCCCCTCCGCGCCCCCATCCCTGCCCCAGTGCCCCCTCCGCCCCCACAACCTGATTCTCCGCATCGCAGCCCACCCACCTCCCCCGCAGGCCCTCGCCAACGCCCGCTGCCCCCGCTGTCCTCTGTGCCCCCTCCGTCCCGACCAGTTTGTTTTTCGCGCCGCAACAACTCCTCCCCATCAGCGGGCCACCGGCACCGCCACCCTCCTCCTCCTCCTCCTCCTCCTCCTCCTCCTCCTCCTCCTCCTCCTCCTCCTCCTCCTCGTCCTCGTCCTCGTCCTCGTCCTCCTCCTCCTCCTCCTCCTCCTCTCCTCCTCCCTCATCATCATCCTCCTCTCCTCCCTCCTCCTCCTCCTCCTCCTCCTCTCCTCCTCCCTCCTCCTCTCCTCCTCCTCCTCCTCCTCCTCCTCCGCCCGCCCCCCCTCGGCATGCCGCCCCCCTCCCCGCCGCCACCGAGGCCCTCGCCTCCGCCCCCCTTGCCCCCGCGGTGCTCCAGCAGCACGGTGCCCCCTCCCCCCGCCCCGACCACTGCATCCTTCGCGCCGCAGCCCCCCACCCAACCCCCCCCTCCCCACCTCCCCCTGGCCCAAACCTCCCCCCCGCAAGCATCCGCCCCCGCCTCCTGTCGACGGTGTCCTCCAGCAGCCCACTGCTCCCTCAGCCCCGACCGTTCTTGTTCCCACCCAGCCTGTGGTGTTGGGTCCCCGTTTTGAATAAAGAGAGCGTCCCGCGTCACTCCTCCTCCCGCTGCCCCTTCCTCCCTCCTCCCGTCCCTGCCTCTGCCCTCCACATGTTCTCGTCGTTGTCGTCATCATCACCACCCTGCACTGCGCTTCGTGGCACCATAAGGACCTCCACCTCAGGTCCCACTGGCGCAGTTCGCATGCAATTCCCCCACCCAGTACAACGCTTTGTGGCCCCATAAGGACCTCCACCGAAGGTCCCAGTGGCGCAGCTCGCATGCGTCTCCCCAACCCACTACCGCGCTTCGGGGCCCCCGAGGGAGCTTCACCGAAGATCCCGCTGGCGCATTTCGCAGGCGTTTCCTCCACACAGCGCGGCGCTTCGTAGCCCCATATGGAGCTCCGCCGAAGATCCCAGTGGCGCAGTTCGCATGCGTCTCCCCCACACAGTACAACATTTCGTGGCCCCCAAGGGTGCTCCACCGAAGGTCTCAGTGGTGCAGTTCGCACGCGTCTCCCCCAACCAGTACAGCGCTCCGTGGCCCCATAGGGAGCTTCACCGAAGTCCCAGTAGCGCAGGTCGCATGCGCCTCCCCTGCCCAGTACAGCGCTTCGTGGCCCCAAGAGCTCCACCGAAGGTCCCACTGGCGAAGTTCGCATGCGTCTCGCCCACCCAGTACAAGGCTTCGTGGCCCCATAAGGACCTCCACCGAAGGTCCCAGGGGCGCAGTTCGCATGCGTCTCCCCAACCCTGGACAACGCTTCGTGGCGCCATAGGGAGCTTCACCGAAAGTCCCAGTGGCGCAGTTCGCATGCGTTTCCTCCACACAGTGCAGCGCTTCGTGGCCCCATTTGGAGCTCCACCGAAGGTCCCACTGGCGCAGTTCGCATGCGTCTCCCCCGCCCAGTACAACCCTTCGTGGCCCCACAGGGAGCTCCACCGAAGTCCCAGTGGCGCAGGTCGCATGCGTCTCCACCACCCAGCACAGCGCTTCGTGACCCCATAGGGAGCTCCACGGGCTCCCAGTGGCGCAGTTCGCATGCGCCTCCCCTTCCCAGCAACTGCGGTACTCACAACTGCATATGGTCGGATGTTTCGCCAGGCTCATTTTCCGTGCCGCAGCTCCCCGACCCGCACCTCCGCCCCCGTCGCACACCCTCCCCCCGGCAGGCCGCCGCCCCCGCCCCCCTGCCCCCATCATCATCCAGCACCGTTTCCGCCCCAGCCCCTTTTCACTGTCGAGCCGCAGCCCCCCTCCCCGCCCCCCCCCCGCCGCGGTGCCCCACCCGCCCCGACCGTTTCTGTGATGCGCGCCGCAGCTCTCCCACCCCCCTTCTCCCCCGCGAGCCTCTCCGCCACCGCCCGCTGTCCTCCCGCAATTGCCAGTGCCCCCCTCCGCCTCGACACTTCTTCCGCGTCGCAGCCCGCCCGCCTCCCCCGCGACCCCCCGGCACCGCCCGCTGCCCCCGCTGTCCTCCAGCAGCCCAGGTGCCGCTTCGGCCCGCTGACCCCCTGGCCTCGCCCGCTGTCCCCCTGCCTCGACCATTTCTTTCGCGTCGCAATCACATTCCCCCCCCTCGCCTTCCGCGGGCCACCACCACTGATGCCGTCCTCCAGCCCCCCATACCCACCCGCTCTCCCTTCGGCGTGCCACCGCCCCTACCCCACTGAGGCCCCCGCCCACGCCCCCCCTCTCCCCCCATGTCCTCCAGCAGCACAGTGCCCCGCTCCGCAGCCCCCCGCCCCCGTCTCCCCCACCCCTCCCCCTCGCGGGCCATCGCCCACGCCCCCCCCTTCCCATGGCCCTCCAGCAGCCCAGTGCCCCCTCCACCCCCACCACTTTATTTTTCGCGTCACAACCCCCCGCCCCATCCCCCTTCCCGCCCCAGGCCGCAGCCCCCGCCACCGCCCCCCATGTCCCCAGTGTCCTCC